AGAGAGAGAAAGGTACTTTGTCGTGCGACAAAAGTCTATCGTATGCGAATTTGTATCCTTATTTGGCGCATGTGCGTGATGTGCGAATTATATGTAATCTTACGAAAAAACGGAAATAATGTATATTTTTATTTTTTTTACTTTGGTTAAATACTTGTTGGCTTTTGGCGCCCCCCTAACACCGGCGCCCAGGGCCTAGGCCCCTTTGGCCCCCCCCTTTACACGGGGCTGCATACATCTTCAATCTTCTGATTCGATAGGTAACTACTATAAGCTGCTCAGTAGTCAGTCCGCCATCTCTTGGATTGCACTTTTGCTTATTTCGTTTGTTATCTTCCGAGCTTGCGGTCACAAAAGCACATGCATCTTTCTCATTTTCTTTATCTGCATCGCTATGCTCGGGTTTTCCATCTTTAATCCATTTCCTGCAGAACTTCTTTATATGTCCTACCTTTTTACAATAAAAACAATCTCTTGTTTCTGTTGCTCTCATTTCCTTTCCAGTACTAGGAGAATTCGCGCGCGGTTTTGAATAAATCTTCCTTTCAGTAGAAGTATTTCCTTTCTTCTTATTTGTTACAGTAGCTAGCGCATTTGAAACTTCCTCATCCTGAGACAATCTATTTTAAAAAACCCGCTCTTGAAGCTTATGAATCGTTTGCGAGATAGGTTCAACACTATCCCACGCTGTTATAAGAGCCCCAAACTTCGCTGGTAGACTTCCCAGAATCTTTGCCATTACTGCCGTTTCAGAAACTACTTCACCAACATCAGTAAGCTGCCTGGCCATATTTTGCACTTTAGCGACATGCTGTACGACAGAGTCGTTTGCAGCCATTTTGTATTCGTGAAATTTCTGGAATAAAAGCAATTTATTTGATTCTGAGGTTCTCTCATGCTGGTTAATTTTGCCCACATATCATGTGCCGTTTGACACGTAATCAAATATTCCAACTGAGTATAATCAATCGTCGATGAAATGAGAAATGTTGCTTTGGCGTTGTCCTTAATCCATCCTTTAGCCGCTTCTTCCTGATCAGGTTTCACGCGAACACCGGTAACCACCTCATAAATTCCATGTGCAATGAGTATCGAAACCATTTGGAACTTCCAATATGAAAATTCTTTCCATCGAACTTAGTCAGACTTCTTGTCAAGAGATCTTCCGACATCTTGTCCCCTTCAGTACTTTGTATCGTATCGTTGAAAAAGAAAGCACTACTTTTATGTTTATATCCGAAATCACCTTTTACGCGCGACTTGGGCCCATAACCTGTTGGGTTTTCCTTTTAATTAAAGCAAGTAAAGTTCAGATATACTTTTTCTTTATTCACACACAAAAACACGTCTGATCAGGAAGGATCTTACAGGACGAATGAATATAAACCAAAATGATCGTAAGCACAACAAAAG